CCCAAATATATTACGCCAAGTATCCGTAGACAAAAATTAAAACATCATGCGAGAATAAGGAAAACAAATAAGCAATAAGTGAATGCCATCAATGTGGACTTTTTTATCTTCACAATATGGACTTTTCTTACCGGGAGTACTAAAGCCTACCCTGCCGGCTTCAAACCCGTCTTTTTTAATTGATGTCACAGTTCGATACTTCAGTATAGTTTACTACCCGAAAATTGTTGTTATGCAGCGTGTGTTGAAGAACGCCCGAATTCTTCTCTTCGTCACATTTCTTAATAACGACATATATAATTTCCCTAGCTTCACTGTGTATTGTTTGGACTTTACTACGAAAAGAAGCCATACCGTTCCACCAAAAGTCACAAACCAAATTAAAATGAATTCGCTATACACTTGTGTTACGGCCTTCTGCTGAGGCCATACAATAATTGGAAAAGCGTCAGAAAACATTTATAGAAGAGCTAAATGAAAATCTTAAAACGATGGAGAATTTTCTGCAAAAAATAAGCCGGTGAATGTAAAAGAAATCTTGGCTAAACATGGTTGCCTTACGAAATAGATAGAGCAACGCCTTAGAAGAAAAGAGAGAACTCACAGAGACCCTGCGCCAACTCTCATAACGAGAAGACAACAAAAGTAAGGGGATAATGCTGAATGAAACAACCGCACTAAGGTGAGTGGCACCCAGCCCACCGAAGAGTCTTACAGAAGAGATAAAAAGTTAGAAGGGAATGATAGAGACAGTGGATGACACTACAGAGGGAACAGAACACCAAAGAGAGTGGCAGAAGATGACTTAGAGGAGGGGTGGAAGCAACTACTGGAGCAAAAGAAGGAGGAAAGAGAAGAGAGAAGAAAATAAGAAAAAAGCTGATCAAACCAGGGCAAGAAACAGACCCTTGAAGCAGGTCATCAAAGTCATATCTAGAGGCAGACATATGCTGATATCATTAAAAAGCAAAGCTCAGTTGACCCAAAAGACTACAACATAAACATAAAAAAAGATAACCCAGAAAGGTCTAATATTCCTTGACAAACAACTCCACCACTCGTGCCGTCTGTACGAAGGATTTGCAAGAACTCAGTAACTACGCTGCTGCTGCCCACAGGTACAGTCCTGAAGCTCTTAATTAAATGTTAAGGCAGAATAAAAAATGAATGGATCTACTGTCGGATACGCGAAAAGCAACAACTAACAAGTTGCTTCAAATGCCTAAACTTCGGATACGTATTGAACTCCTGCTAGGGTCTGGACCGAAGGAACGTGTGCTACAAATGTGGCAAAGTAGGGCACCTAATAAAGAGGGACAACCCAATGTGTCATTTGTAAAGAAAAAACTTAAGTTATCACCACATGCTGAGCAGCAAAAAATGCACTTCATATACTGCCAAATTATACAGCCAAAATAACTTTTCTACAGGTTAACCTAGGAAAGAGCCACGCTACACAAGACGCAACTAAAAAGAAAGTAGTCCTGTTTCTAGTTAGTGAGCAACTGAAGACAGACAAAGCTACGTGATACCAAGGTGGCTCAAGGAGAGCACCCGTAGTAACATATAAGATCGACGTTTCCGCATTTAAAGCGACGAACCACGGGTTTGTATGGATAGAAACAGCTGACAGGGGTCTATAGCTGCTACTTCTCACCAAACACCCAATAGACACATTTAAAACGAAAATAGATGAACTAGAGAGGAGCTTAAAATCAGCAAAGGGAGGTGTTGTGACAGGCGATTTTAATAACAAGTTTTCAGAATGGGAAAGCCGAAACGCCAAAAGAGCGGATATTGTTGGAATGTATCGCCAAAAACGACCTATTCATCCTAGTTAGTAAATATGGGTAAGGTGAGTACATTCCAAAGAGGAGAAGCGGCATCCATACTGGATCAGGCGATAGGCTCCAATAACATTGGAAGAAGGGTAAAGGATTAGAGGGTTCTGAAAGAAGAGACGCTTAGTGACCACAGGTACATCCAGTTTTCAACAAAAGTACTTGGTGGACATCAAAGGATGTACGAGAAAATC